TGTCTCACCGTTCAAGATGCTCGTGGGTCGTGAAATGAGTCCCTTCGCACATTCCTCTTCCTCGTAAGAAACCGTCGGTAGATAACGCGCCAAGGCAATATCTTGCCACTAAAGGAAAGCCCCAGGAATGTGTTTAACGCTGCGCGCATACAAATGCAGAAAGAAAAAGAGGTGTAACAACAGACAGAGTCGAACAGCCTCTAGCAGTACACCATAACAAGATTAGGTCATGTTTAAGTCTGCCCAACGTAGTTTACGAGGGCGAAACCTATGTGTTGACATAGGAATAGAAACCATCTGACAGAGCTCCAACGACTAGCATTGGAGTCGATACTTGAAAGAGAAGGGAGTTTTGCAATACGAACTAATGTGTTTAAGAGGCCCTTACGAGGAAGAGGCGGTTGGCCAATTCAAACATTGTGCAAATGGAGTGCGAGGATCTTTTCGAAGTCTAGCTCGTAAATCTTCGTTGTATCTAGATTCCCACAGACTATACCTATATGAGTATGTCAAATAAATCTTCCTCTAAGCGTTTTCCTTCTCGGAAGTCTGTGGTTAAGGACGAGGAAAGTAGGACGGAAGACACTACAGTACTCGCTCCAAAATAAACCGTCAATGGTGCACAGACCTTCATAAAGGCCGTCCTTCGAAGACCCAGCTGTGCTTTCTTTCATCGGCGGCACAAGAGTATTCACAAGTCCTGGCATCTCTGTCCACTCAGGGAAGAAGTTTCCATGACTCTCCATAAGCTCCGCAAGTCCGAACGAACTTGGTGCCACGCCGACGTCGTCATCCAATCCATCAGCCATGTCAGGAGTAGCACAAGCACTGCTTGAATCCACCTCCTCCTCTTCATCCTCTTCACCGTGTCTATCATCCTCCAGATCAGCCTCAACTGCAGCAACCACTTCGTCGTCATCGTTGTCAACGTCGACTTCGTCCTCCTCCTCGTCGTCGTTGACGGGTGGTTGAATTTTTCTGACGCGACGCGTCGAGCGAAGAGGCTTAGGCGGACCGTCAAATGGTTGAGTGGGCGCTTTTTGAAGGGACCTCGCCCTACACCGCTGAAGTGGATGCGTAAAAAAAAGTATCAAATGAACGACAAAAGAATTGTCAAGAATTCTTATCTTCTAAATTCCTTAAATCATTGCTGCCAACACCGCAAAAGTTACAATATACTGCATCAACTCCTTATACGAGTATCTCACTCGAGTTTACAAATTATGGAAGAGAAGCAAATTAACTAAAAGTATGAAGTCCGAAGGGGAAGTGCTTTCAATAAAATGCATCTTTTTTAAACCATAAGCGCATCCAATTAAAAAAGTTA